TGCTAGTTCGAACTATCTAGCCCATGCCGCGTGTAGCCGCGCGGCACGGGGTTCGAACAAGCCGGCATTTAAAAATGGCGGCGCCCGGCTTATGCAAATGAAGCCCGGGAAATTCAAATCCCGGGCTTCATTTGCAAGTGCGGTATGCCTTCATTACCACCCTAGTTCGAACTAGGGTGGTAGTGTAGACATACCCTCTTTGTCTATTAGGCCTGTCTTATGTGTCACAGTTCCAAAAGGGCACACCAGTGTCTCTAGTGAGGCAGCCATGCGCTGGACCCTCTGTGTTCGGACGCTAAAAGCTGGTGTGGTGCTACTACTCTCTCTTGGCTCACGGAACTGTGGGGAAGCTTTGTTGTCTCTCTCTGTTATTTGTGGGCGTAGTACTGACCTCTGAGGCTAACCCCAGGCCATAGTACCCCATTCCACCAGGCTGTCTCCAGGCGCCAGGACGTGGTGTTCTGCCGGGCTGGGGCAGGTGCCGGAAACCCCTGCAAGCCAGGTGGACTTTGAGTCCAGTGCCTCGCAACCAAAAGGGGGGGTGTCATGATTATGAGGGTTAGCCAGCAGCCTGGGGATTAAAGGATTAACTACACCTAGCCAGGTGGAGTGACCAATAGGAATGTAGGTGGGACTTTTCAAACTGGGACAAAGGAATTTGGTGCCGGGCTGGGGCAGGTGCCGGAAACCCCTGCAAGCCAGGTGGACTTTGAGTCCAGTGCCTCGCAACCAAAAGGGGGGGTGTCATGATTATGAGGGTTAGCCAGCAGCCTGGGGATTAAAGGATTAACTACACCTAGCCAGGTGGAGTGACCAATAGGAATGTAGGTGGGACTTTTCAAACTGGGACAAAGGAATTTGGGTTTTTTTCCTTTCTCCTTTTGTCTCTTTGAGGGAGTTCTCTGCAGCTACAGAGAGGGACAAACATGTCTCTCTCTCTCCAAGACACCATTCTTCATGTTCTGTAAGTAGGGTAAAGTTTAGGTAGTTTCGTTAGGTTTTATTGTTTTATGGATTGGGTATGGGATCTGAGATCTGGCACTGTTTAAAAGATGTTTTGGCTTTTCTTTGTAACTAAGTTCTAGGCCCATGTAGTTTCTCCATGAGTATATTTTGTTACCTCCCTATCTAGTCATTATGTTTGCAACAGGAATATTGTTGTAATAATAAAAGCTCTTTCTTTTCTTTTTATTAACCTGGCAGTGGTTAATTGTGTGCCTTGATTTTTATTTTAGGGGTAAGATTTCCCAAATGATCTTTCCCCTGATTTCTTTATCAACATTTGGGTGGTGGCAGCGGAAGTTTTATTCCCAAGATCTAGGTTTTTAAGATTTTGGGGGGAGTTTGATACCAAAGCCTGGTAGATAAGGCTTTGGGGTACACTTGCTGGCCCCCACTTCTGCATTTATCGGGCAGGGGGGGGGAGGGAGCCATAACAGGGGGAACCAGTGCGAGCAGGTGAATTCTTAATTCGGTGACTCGCAGAGCGAGCAGGCGTATTCTGATTCAGTGACTCGCAGAACAAGCAGGCGGATTCTGATTCGGTGACTCACAGAGCGAGCAGGCGGATTCTGATTCGGTGACTTGCAGAAGAAGGTGTAAGCAGGCGCACTTTTAGTTCGGTGCCTTACAGAATTAAGCGCGCGCAGAAAATGGGTGTAGGTCAGTCGACAGGAATTCCAGTGCCTTTATGATAAGAGCCTTCTGGTATAGGATCCTAATGAAGTCTGATATTAAGTGCCGGATGTCTTAGGGCAGTGCCACTTAATAGAAACACCCATGAGAATTGGACAATAAAGAAAGATGCATCTAAATGTGGAAACTGTAGGAAAAATGTGAAAAAGGAGAAAAAAAAATGTGTGTGAAAAATGAGTATGAATGTAATGAGTGAAGAATGAATGCCGCTGCATAGGTCTGAGACTTGAGCTGATCCCAGCTGCACCAGGGCTCTCCCACGAGGGAGCTCTGAACGCAAGGAGGGGGGTCAGCTGAACCTCGAAACTCAGCGGATATGTGAGGGAGTGATGACTCCCCTTATTTCATGAGCTGCTAAGGTCTGACACTCTAGACCTGGCAGACTCTTTCTTTGGAGTGTGTAAAGTTAATTTAGGTGGGGGTTAGTCTAAGCACCCCCCCACTTTGCCGAAAGGCACCCCTGTGTACTACATGTACGTGCATAATGGTCCAAGGACCTGTAAGCATTTAACAAATTGGAAAAGAGGAAAAATTAAAGCCCTGAGGGATGAAAGTAAAGCTCAGAAAAGCAAAAATCCTCCCTGCAGTAAGATAGGTAACTTAAAAGTTGCTGCAGCACCTCTGTGCCAAAATAATGCACAAGAAGTGGAAAAAAAAAGAAAAGAGCTTTCTCAGTTGGCACACCCATATCAACCAAGCTTGGGGGGGAAATTTGGCACAACATCACCCCTCTATACCTCTTTATAACGTATACACAGATAGAGAGGAAACATGAAAAATAACTTAAAGGAATTAGCTCTTCCCTTTGAAAACACGGGCTCCTGTAACAAACTTGCCCGATCCAAAGCAAAACACAAAGTTTAAAATAAGTTTAACAGTTTAAGGAAAGTGTTCCTCCAAATCATAAGGGGGAGGGAAAAAAACCTGCTTTAAGAAATGACTCCTTGTTTCTTGCAGCCTCTTTTAATCATCTTAGCAATGAAACAGTCAAGTTA